GTTATTCTTGGGGGTCCTTTTCTAGCCACAACAAATGCTTGCATTAATTAGAATTGTCAGAAAGAGAGTCAATCCGTCAAAAAGTCTATAAAGAAAATTTATACAAAAAATAGTGGCATCAAGGAATAATAATAATTTTGTTAAGGCAACGAATAATATTATTGAGGTTAATCAAGACAAAAAATATCTTGCTTCACCTATTGTAGTTAAAAAAGATGAAGTCAATGATGTGAAAACATTAATTCCTTTGCAATAATTGGTAGATGCAACAAAAATGCTTTAGCACAAAAGAAGAAGATGGTGACAAGGAGTTCGATATTGAAATTGAGTAACAAGAATTGATTGATGATCAACGGGTTAATAGTTTTTTTCAAATCAGATGTCCAAGATCGTATTAAAGGATTCGGACTTTAGGTTGGTGAAGTATCTTTATTTGAGCAAATTCTAACTGAAGAATTATTTATTCTGGAAGGTGCCAATGAAAATACTTTGGTGTCGTGCTTTGGAGGTTCTCATGACAGTGAAAAATATGATTTTGTGATAGGCGAGACTTCATGTTATTTGCAACCAAACTTGAGGATGAGTTTTTTTGAAGTAGAGGGGATTAATGTAGGACATAATTCTGAACAGTTTGACAAATAGTTTGATAAGTCTATTTTCGACAAATCAATATTGTTTTTTGGGTGGAAACGAGGCCTAAACGAAGACTTGTTGATTATTTCTGAATTTCTGTTCGAGACCTAAACAAAGTCTAATTGTGCTCAAATTTATATTTAGTATTTGTTATTTATTAGGTTTCTTATTTTATTTTTTCAGAATTTTTAGAAAAACTTTATTTTTAGTGTTATTTTCTTTTTGCGTTTAAGTTTCTTTATGCTTTAGTTTTCTTCTAGAGTTATACTTTCTATTGTTATAAATACGTGTATTGCAAAGTGCAGAATAAAAACTTTTAGTCATTCAATTATCAATAATATATCAGATTTCTCTGACTTATTTTTTCGTTTTGTGGATTCAAAGTAAACTGCTCCTTTCGAACAACTTTATTGCTTCTGCTTACGTCAGCGGCTGTGGTAATGAGAGAAATAACGAAGGTGGTGGCTGTGGTGGCGAGAGAGCGACAGGCTCGGCATCCATTTCAAAATGCCGCCGAGCTTTTTGGTCAATCCAAGCATTTCCTTGTTGCTTGCCGTTCATTATCGCCAGCGAAGTAAATGTTGTAGAGATCAGAGAAAGATAGTGGATAGAGAATCTGAGGAGGGGGGATAAAAAACTCGTGGGGGTACGTATTTTAAACATTCAATTGAAATGTTGAAATTGAAACAAGGTATTTTTTACACCTTTTGCATATAGTGATGATGTTTCTTACACTTAATCCTATATATATATATATATATATATATATATATATGTATATATATATATGAGTCAAGTGGAGAAAATACCCCGAAAGAATGTTATAGTGCATATCACACCTCTCTCATGCAAAAAACACCCCTAAAGTTGCAATCTGGTGCAAATAGATCCATCTAACAAATTTAAACCCTAAGTTGACTAAATTACCCTTAATGAACCATTTTATAAAATATATAAAATTAAATAATTTTATAAAATGACCGAAAATGACACTATTGGAGGACACCGGTAATGGACAAGTAAAGATAAAAATATAAAATAAAAATAAAGTATAAAAGAAATGTAAAGATAAAAATAAAAAATAAAAAATAAAAATACAGTGCAAACTAAAAAAATTAAATTTTTCAAACTCCAAAAACTAGTGCACTCTAATATTGGATTTTTATTTTATTATTTTTTTTTTTAACAATGTTGATATGAAAAAAATAAAAAATAAAAAAATATATATAAATTAGTAGAAAAGAGTAAACTCAAATCTCGAAAAATTCGAATCCTTGTTTTACAAATTCTCAAAGTTTAAAAAAAAAAAAAAAAAAAAATTGTTAGAGATAAAAATAAATAAATAAAGTTTCAAAAAAAAAAAAAAAAAAAAAAAGTAATGTGCACATAACACTCCTATATTATGAGATTAGTAGCATTTATACCCCTTTGGGCATTTTCGAAAAAGTAAAAGGCCAAAACGGGTATTACAATACTAATTTATTTTATAAGGGTATTTTTGCACAATGTGAAAAAATTAGGGATATTTTTTACACACTTTTTAAAATAAAAATAAAAATACGACTTAGAATATACTTTAAAAGTATTTTCTGCACTTGTCATATATATATGGGCGAATGGCAAAAAAAAACCCCTTTGACTTTTAATTGTTTGCAAAAAATTCCCCTTATGAATATTTTTAGCAAAAAATCCCCCTCAACTATCTCGAGGGGATGACTTTAACTGATGTATGTTTAAATGATTTGCTAAATTATTTTTTTGGGCAAAATTGTCCTTTAACAGTAAAGGACTTTTATTATTATTATTATTATTTACTCTCTCGCCACATCAGCAAATTATTGGATTAATGACCCTCCCTTTATTCTGTAACAAATGGCGGATGTCCACGCAAGGGGGTAGTCAAGAAAATGAGTCTTATGAATGGAATCAATAGTGAGTGGTCGGGCAAGGCTCCAACGCCAGAATCTGCCTCCGAAAGACACCTTTTTCGAGAAATGCTAATGAATTACTGAGATCATTTTCGAGAGAGAGAGAGAGAGAGAGCCATACCATTATATACGTGTGTGAAAATTAATCTAAGTCAAATTTATTTTATTTACTCTTATCCTATGAGTATGAAACCATATTATAAGTCAAGTTTATTTTATTTTATTTTTTATCCTATCATATCCATATGATAATTTTTCCCTAATATCATCTTAGATTAGTATGAAACCATATTATTTGTTTATGTATAAAAAGATATTTTTATACGAGCTTACATAAAAGTTAAATAATTATAATAATTTGCTCATCCATTTATCAAATATCAACTAAAATTGATTTTGCAAAGATACAACATTAAAATACATTTATAATTGATAAGCAACCATTTGTCCTCTCAAAAATTACTTCCACCAATAACAACCATAACTGAAAATAAAAAAAAAAAAAAAAAAAAAGGTCCAAGCATCCATTAACACAAATAAATCCAACCTGTTTACTAAAACATTCAAATACATCAAGGATTGACAAAACATACATTAAAAAATTACATCAATAACTAGCAAACACATGTCTGAAAAATATTACTAAAAATTATATCCATCATTAAAAATCATTTTCCATAACCTTTTTTGCCATGTACTACCAACAACAAATAATGCCATCATCAAACAAAAAATTGTTTGTCACCTGCTAAAATAATAATAAAAAAAATCCAAATGAGGCTCAATGAAGTTAAATGCATTGTCAACTATGCACATCAAAGCATAACGATCTGGTGGTTTGTCACCTTACCGAATGAACAAAATTTTCAAAAAAAAATTGCTATATATTCATCCTTGATTTAATACACTGTACAAAGAATGACTTCAATGAGAATATGATATCAATTAACAGTCTTTTGAAAATAATGAGACTAATGAATTTAAATTAGTAATACCTCGAGAGGGATGCTTGAGTGTTTTGAGTTAAATTTTCTCTTGTTCCACCCGAACCTCTTGCTCCATAATCATTTGGACCTCAACCATCTCTTTTGCTCTTCCCTTTGCCCTGTAAATCTCGTGTATAGAAACATCAGTTCCTGTTGCCTTATAACAGTTTGTCTCATTGAACTGGATTCCCAATTTGGATTCTCTCTAATCGTCTCCAAATACCTGTTTGCAATGTATGATGATGATGCTTGTTTATTTGTTGGAATTCTAGTACAATTGTGATCTTTAATGAATGTCTTAATGCTCAAACAACTCTCACTTTGAGTTTGAGATGCACGTATTCTCCACCCACACTCTTGTTTACATATGGCAGTAATTAATTTTATATAATTTTTTTTTTAACTTGATATCAAATTTATTTTTCACTGTAAAATGCCTTAAAGCCATTCTAAACTCAGTAGGTGTTGCAAATTTGATGTCCACTTTAAGTTCTACATACTCCAAGTCGCTTTGAGGATCAAAATCTTGGTATCTAGATTCAATCTCATCATTTGATAACCCACAAAGACTTTTTAACTCATTAGTAGGTGCATACTGTGAATCTACATCAGAAAATTTTAATCAATATCCACTATAGTTTGTAGCATTTCTTCCTCTCCAAATACTTCATCAATGCGCAGATCTTTTTCAGATGCTTCAAAACTTAAAACTTTCCCGTGCATATCAATTATAGCTTCTTCGTTGAACACTGGAACATACACATTAGTAGTAGCTTGTTCATCCCCCATTGCAGTATCTTCATCACCCATTGCAACTTCCTCCTCACCCATTGCAACCACTACAAGAAAACAGGGCTTCTACGAGGGGCCAATAGTACCGTGAAAACTTATTCACGACGAATTGTAAGCCATCGTCTACGAGGGTTCCGTAAATACTTATTTTATTTAACGAGAATAAATCAATCTCATAGAAAAATAAAATTTTCACCGTAGAAAACAATTTTGTCTACTATAAAAATGATTTATGATATGAATATTTTTCAGTTAATAATTAATTTACGAGATACATGGTTACTTGTTAATGCATCTAAATATTCACTAGGCACTCATGCATAGCGTAGAAAAGTTTTCTACGTCCTTTTTTACGAGGATTTTCACTACTAGTAAATAATATAAACCATTCTCACGAGGCACCGATTCATGCCGTAAAAAAGTTTTTTACGGTGATTTTCACTACCCGTAAAAAATATAAACCATTCATAGCCTTTTATTTACAGGGTTTCAAGCTCGCCGTAAATATTTATATATATATAAAAAAAAAAAACAAAAAATAAAGCACCATACCCTTAAATGCCAGTTAATCAATTATCCACAACCTGTAATTGACATTAGTTTCAACTATTATTCAATTCAAAAAACATATCAACACATCTTATATGATAATGCCAATTACTATAACCAAAACAAACTCTTGAAATACCCAATTAAACATATCAAAAGAGTTAAAACATTTTTACAATTCATCATTTATCAATGTGCCAAAACAATTCAACATTTATCCATGTTCCAAAACAACTAAGTCCATTTGTCAAGAAAATCATTAATTTCCTAGCACTTCTATTGAAAAATTGATGAACCTTCTAACACTTGGATTTCAGTCTGCACTTGTCAAAAAACCATCTCACTGTCCATGGTATAAAATCCAAGCAAGTAACTGCATCACACATGTTTTAAATTCAGAATGCTAATAACAAAAGGGAAAGAACAAGATTATTATTTATGAATTAAACACAAACAAAATGCAGCCAATAAACTACTACCAAAAAGTACCAACAAAACAACATACAAAAATAAGCAAAACTAGGACAAGAAGCGTATACAGGTGGCATCCACCAAACGAAGCATCCTTCGCCATCTTACAAACATGAGGAGGACATGGTTATTCAAGATTTAATTTACCTTATTTGGCTGATGTATACATATTTTCGAAAACCTAAGCTGCGAGTTCAAATGTGCTTCTCTTTGTTTGAGAAGAAGCAAATAATTAACACGCACCTAAATCTTCATACACAGTCAAATATGGTTCAGAAAATGAAACCAAATCATGCGACAACACCAAAATACTTGATTGGAAATAATGGAAGAACCGGACTTTTTCATGACAGGCAGGATTGAACTGTGAAAGTACTTGGCATCTAAACCAACAAGAAGTTCAAGCTCTTCCCATTTCAACAAATTATACAACTCGTATCACTGCAACAAAATGGAGCTTTTGTGATGAAGTTCTATTGTCAGCAAAAGTAGTCTTTTAGTGACCAAATATTTTTTTGTCACCATTAGTGTATGTTAAAAGTACCATATGACCCAATACAGCCTCCTATTCCAATCCAATCCAATCCGAATCTAAACTTTTGAACTAGTCCAACCTCGGATTGGAGGTAATCAAGCCCAACATAAAACCAGATGTGAGCATCTTTCACAAAAATATGACAATAGATGTATCTTGTTCTTGCAATGAAAATTCTCTCGAATGTGAAAAAGAAGAAAAAAAAACAAAAAAAAACATTCTCTGGAATTAAAGATGGCCATCGAATATATAAAATTTTTGAAAATAATTAAAATCTCACTCTTCCTATTTGTCTCAATTATTTTAAAGCAAATACTATAGACGAAAAAGGCCAAATAGCATCATATATGAACAAAAGTACATTTCATATCGAGGTCCAGTTGATCATGTACCTTGTATTATGCAATTGGATCTTTGTAACTAGAAACACAAATCCTTACTTAATTAAATAAATAAATCATCAATCAATAAAGAGAAAATAAAAACAGGTCCCAGATTATTTCTGATCATTAAAGGAAAAAGACCAAAAATGAGCTCAGTGCAGAATTAAACCCAAAAGGGTTATTGTAATGGTAACACCGTTACCTCATATTTTGGAGGTTGAAAGTTTGAATCTCTTAAGCTCATCCTAAAATTTTTTATTGATAATTGTGCATGTGTGGAACGAGGAGACCGTCCAAAAAATTTATTGATTACTGGAACTTGTCTTTCGCCTTCTTTCTTCTTTCTTTCTTTCTTTCTTTTATTTTATTTTTAAAAGCTTCTATTGATTTTACAGTGTTATATTTGTGTATGATAGAGTTTTACTAGACTGCAGGATATGTTTGATTAGTACTTGCGAGTATTGGGACCAAAAGGACCAAATTCATGCATAAAAGCATGAAGTTAATGCCAGTATTATGAAGATGTATTTTTATATAAATAGGAGACTCGCAGTAAAGAAAAGAGTTCTGGTACTGACTTAGAGAATTGAGGCTCTAGAATGAATTATATACCAACTTGAATTATTATTGATTTGTTTTGCTAAGGAAGTTAAACGACTTCAGATTGCAGAAGTATACCTAACATTTTGATGACAATATCTATTATTTTTTATAGCATGGGTTGAGAGGATAACATAGTGGTTGGCCACAGGTCAAGTTTTTATCTCCATTAAATTTGAAAATTGTGTGACAAAAATAAATAATAAGACAAGAAATTAGAGTTTAGGGAGATAGTTTGACTGCATTTTGGGTGGGTAGCTGGCCTTTACTTTCTTTCTTTTTTTTTCCTTTCTTTTTTATCTTTTTAATTAAGATGGACAATGAATTCAAATTAGATTGTTATACCCGGGTAGCATATTAACACAGTAAGCTGTATAGCTGTGCAAGTTTCTGGAATTTTGGAAAGGCTGCCTTTTGGATTTTATTATAACATAGGGATTGATTTCAATATATTTCATTTTGTACCCAAACACAATTTATCCAAGGCAAACTTAGTTACAGTTAGTTTCATATTAGATCTTTCATAGTGCTCTTTTTAATTCGTTTCCCAATCTAGTGCATTACTCTGTAATCAAAATTTTATATGCTGATAGGTCATTCTGATCCATGAAGACCAGATTTAGGTTCCTCATGAATGGTGTGGGACTCAGCATGTGAGAGAGGATAAATGGACACCACCATTGAACAAAAAGAAAGAAAAAAGAATATAAAATAAAATTATTACTCAAAATTTGTCGCCCTAGCCGACTAGTTTGAGTCGTTTCATGTGTTCACTTCAGCCAGAACAGTACGTAGTCAATCAATTTGGATCATCTCTGACCATCAACCAATAATAGATCATCCTCCATGCCAATGTCATCAATGCAGCCAATTCTCAAAGGAGGATGGACCCAAACAAAACCTTACACTTTACAATACAATTTGGGTGTAAAAGATATCCTAGAAACCCTAAAGATGGTCTATGATATCCTAATTTTTTAACTCTTTGTTATCAAAAGACAATTTTTCCCCTATGCATATTGGCAAGTTGCCACTACAAAAAAAAAATAAAAGAAAAAAAAATAAAAATAAAGAGAGCCCTAGTGTTTCCAGCTGCATTTATGCAAACTTGTAAAGGTAGAATCCTAATTTTTTAACTCTTTGTTATCAAAAGACAATTTTTCCCCTATGCATATTGGCAAGTTGCCACTACAACCAAAAAAAATAAAAATAAATAAATAAATAAAAAAGAGCCCTACTGTTTCCAGCTGCATTTATGCAAACTTGTGAAGGTAGAATCCAAAATACTGACCATATGGATAAGAGAGTGTTTGGCTCGTGGCATCCCCTCTTTGGATAATACGGTTTGGATACATATTAATTATTGTATGCAAAAATATCTTCACTCTTGACTTTGTACAACTCTGTATAATCTCTAGTGTCAAGGTCTATTGTGATTTGTGAATTTCACCTCAATGGGACCTATCTAATAGTAAATATAATGTTGTTATGGTGGTTAAGACTTGAGACCTAAAAAATTAAAGGTAATGGAAAATAGCTAATGCTTTACAGTAATCAAATAGCAAAATAAATAGTAAAACTGTAAAAGTGATTAATTAATCGGAAAGCAGCAAAAATGGTCACTTAAGGCACGTGATCCCCTATACACCATGATATGTAATGAATGAAAACCAAACTCCATCCGCAACAATTTCCTGACCTCCATTTATGCACAATAATAATAATAACAAAATGGCCACTTAAGGCACGTGACCCCCTAAAACAATCAACTTTTTGCCATGGTGATAATGAAAATGAAGAAGCATAGTATTTGACCTTTGTTGTAGACTGGAATCATAGAAATATTGATTCTTCTGCTCCTAATGAACTGGTGATAATCAATCCGGTCAAAAAAAATATTTAAAAACTGTAATGCCAATAAATACATAAAAAATCAGATCGTATGACTAATTTAAAAATAATAATAATAAGTTAGTGAATGAATAATTGAGCTCTTCAGTTGGTACAGTTTCAACTAGTAAAATAGCAAAGCTTATATTCATGTCAGAGTTACAGGACAATCACCCCATAGAACTAAGAGTGAAAAGCACAACACTAAAGGGGAGCAAGATTCACAACATAGCGATAACCTAGGAAACCAATCTCTTTGTAACTAATAACGGGAAATAATGCTGACCTACTCACAAAAAAAATAAAGTGACTGAATAAACCTAACAAATTAAGTCCAAAATATGAGTATGTTATTCCCTATGAAACACCAAGGTCCAAAATATTCTTGTTCCACGTGGCATCTTGTTGACGTGCTTTATCCTTGAAATTTTGCAGCTAATATTATATCAAAATAATTATAATCGTATGGCCTTTTAACAATAGATATTGCCACATACAATATGATTTCCTGAATCGAATTAAAGTTAGAAATCGAAGAAGACGTGCCTATATTTAGTTTGTTTTAGGGATTATTCAACCCATTATTTTCATTATCTTTCTACAACTATCATCTACAAAAAATTAATTTTATCAAAGTGGTTTAGAGAAATCACATTAGTTTGAGGGCGATAAAGTGCATTCAAAATTTGTAAACCTACCGAGAGTCTAAATGCCTAGCAAGTAGGTTGATTCTTCATTACAAAAAAATAAAAATATTAAATAAATCACATTAAGCAAAACATGTAACTTAAAAAAGTTTAATGAGCCTGCTGGCCCAATCATTTTCAAGCATTAGAATCAATTTCTTTAAACAATGAATAAATTAAAAGTGCAACAACAAATGATATTGATGGCCAATAAAAAAAACAATAGGAATTCTTGAATTGTTGACTAGAATAAAAGCATAGATTCTTTGGCAAATTGGATCCCACATAAAATGGTTATCTAAAAATTGAAACTTAGTACTTGAAAAAGTTAATCACAAAATTTAGAATTAATCATCATGTATGCGGCAGAAAATAGGCAGAAAAAAATATTTAAATTCTCTTTACTTAAAGTGTTCAATTCTGTATGACCAAGAATTAAAGAATTATACTTCAATAAAACATCCATACATAGCATACACAAATGAATTACATACCAAAAATTTAAGTTCATTTATTGAATAAAGTTTCGTTGAATTGTCAATCAAAACTCACCCCTCAAGAAAAAAGTTTTAACACGTTAGTTCCTTGAATCAGTGGAGAGAAATGGTTTTAAATCAATGCTTTAACCACCTTCTAAGATCCTTCATTGAAGAACATTCACTTCAAACTTCAAAGCCAAGCCAAAATACTTAAAAACAAGAATACTTCTTAGAAACCAAATAAGCATTTCCAGTAACTTTCCAGAATTTTGTTCCAAAGGTAACTATTTTTGGGATAAATCTACTTTTACAAGAAGCCAATCTCTCAATCAATTTTAGGAACCCAATAAACTGCTAAACACCTTCACTATAGTTCCCCTCATATTTATTATGCAATTTTTATGCTACCAATTATGAATATATCATCCAACAAAAATATTTGAAAAATGGGATAAGAAAGATACAATACAATACAAAAATTAAAAACAAAACAAAACAATATTCAATCCGCACATAAATAGAAGCATAACTTTGAGCTCAAATTGGAGTTTGAAATAGAAAAGAAACAAAAACCATACAGATATAAGATCAAAGGGAAAAACCCTAAAAGCTAATGTATCTAAGAACATATACAAGTAACGGAAGTTCATGGTCAAGTTTGGAAATTGGAAAACAAAACAAATCAATTAAGTGACTGGCAAGTTCTGATTCAAAAGAAAAAATATAACCGAATATATCCATATGATCATATCTATAAAAGTGGCACAAAATGAAGAAATATTGAAGAAACATAAAATCTGACTTCAAAATAATTTTCTTCATAAACCTAACCAATTCAAATTGAACTATGCATTAATCATCTTATAATGTCATTTCTAACCCTTATAGGAGCATTGGCCTTCTTTAACTATCTAAAAGAAGAAAAAAAAAACACTTAACACATAATCATCTTATATAAGGTCAAGGCACAATATTATAATTCAATTTCTTCTTTCCTGTGCTCTACACTTTACTTGCTAGCATAGAAAAGTTCAATATATAATTAATTTGAGGATCCAAGGTCTGCAAACTGTTCTGAAGACAGTTAATGGCACTCTCGAACAGATATATTTGGAGGAAAAATGAATTGGTTGGTTTTAGGTTTGGTTTGCCTAAGGGGCGACACAAAGGCCCCCAAAAGAGAGTATGGGGTCACTAAAGCCCCAACAAGTCGAGTCGCGCAAAGAAAGCACTCTGAAAACACCTTGATATTGATTGCGAGATCAATTGTGACGAAATTCACAGAGTTGACGCTTTGCTTCAGATGGCAAATTGAAAGACTAACCCCAATTTCATAATACACTGTCAAAGACTAACCCCAATTTCATAATACACGTCAAAAATCGTTTGTTATTCAATCTTGATTCAAGGAAGTCCTAAATGTTTCATCACTCCAACTATACTATAGGTGAAGAGAAGAGGGGAATTCACCGGACAGTCACATAAATCAGATTAAAATTACATAAATAGGCGACTATAACAAGGTACCTTCGTCCTTGCTCGTTCGCTGGTAGAACTGGTCGCTGATCTTCGTGGCTGATCGCCGGTCGCTAGTCTTCGTCGGTCGCTGCTCGCCGGTCGCTGCTCGCAGGTCTCTGCTCGCCGATCGCTGCTTCGTCGGTCGTTGCTCGCAGGTCGCTGGTCTTCGTCAGTCGCTGCTCGCAGATCGCTCCCCTCTGGTCGCCGCTCACTGCTCGCTGATCGCCGGTCGTTGGTCGCTGCTCCCCTCTTCTTTGTCGCTCCCTCTTCGTTTCTGTTTGAGGCTTCGTCTGCGTTCGTTTTTTTGTTTTTTTTTTAAACCTATATACTTTTCGCAAGGCTTCGTAATAGAAATATGTGAATGAGAGTTTTTTATGGAGTATTTTCTATTTATCTATATATTTTTATTCAGTGTAATTTTAACTGTACCCAACTTGGCGGGAGGTTGGGGGAAAATCTTCTCGCCTGTTCACGGGACAAAAAATGTTCTTTAAATGTCAAATTTTAACATTTTATCCATGAGGACTTTAAAATGCCGTAAAAAAATTTTAAGTGTAATTTTAAATGTGCCAAATTTGGGAGGGAGGTTAAAAAATTCGGGAGAAGTCCTTTTACTTATTTACAGGACAAAAATTATCTCTTAAATATCAAATTTTAGCACTTCATTAACAAGGATTATTTGTCCCGTTAACGTTGAACAAGATTGTCCTTAATATGTTTAAATATCCACGAGGACTTTGAGTCGCTCTAAATATTTTTTTCAACGAGGATGAAGATGCAAGAAATTTTCTCTTTCTAAATTGACAAAGTTTCATTACACCTCAAATATTTTCTCCCATCATTTCCTTCCTTTTTCACCTATTTATAGATTGTTTACAATGTTCTAGAAGATCCCTCACTCACTCTATCCATTGGGCTCATCTTTGAGCCTTTTATATCCATGGATCTACTCGTGTTTAAGGCCTCCAGCTTCACTCTTCGGCATTGGGCTTGCCTCATGACAGCTTGATTTGGGCCCAGACCATTTGCTAGGCCCATTCTTTATCATGTGGGTTAGATCCGGCCCATGCCGCCTTTGGTATCCTCAACTGCCCCCATAATCACTCCCTCATTAATTTGGGTGTGATTATCAATTGACGTAATGATGACTCGATGGCTAATGATGTCTTGACGGCTTGAGACGATCACGTGGGGCATTGAGCGGTCGGCCTCGGAATTAATGTCTTTGAAATTTAAATCTTCTTAACTCCCTGACGTCTCGGTTAACGGGACCACTTCCCCTTTATATATCGTTCCTTCACACCTACAGCCTTCCTTGTCGTACCTATCATATTTCGCTGTCAATCCATTCACAATCCACTCTTTGCAGGCAAAATTGAATCTTTTCTAGTCCCATCAGATCTTCTTCGGCGAACCCTACAATAGGTTCTTCATCTTCAGTTTTCTTGCAACATCCTTTGCAACTCTCCATCCTCTCAAGGTCAATGTCACTTCTTTCTTCTTCTTTAAATCTTCGCATACCTCCCCAAGGATAGTAGTCGTTATTACCGTGCCTATAGATCTGGAAGTTCTTCGTATAAAACTCCATCTTCCCAGTGACATCATTATTAGGGCCTGCCCCAGGGATGTGAATATTCGAACCGGCACCAGCCTTCTTCCCGGTGAAATATTATTTTCTCACTTGCATCTAAACTTACTTAGATTCCCTCTGCATCCCTTTTTCAGCTATGTCTTTAATAGGCTGAAACTTTCCCCTCTTCAAGTTAACCCCAATTTTCTTAGGGTTCTGTCAGTTCTGTTGCTTCTGAATCGTGATAGAGGCTTAGATCTTGATATTATAGATCTTCTCCTTTGTTACAAGGTCAGCAAAATTCGATTGAATGAAATGTATTACCACTTTTATCCCTTCGATAGAAGATCTTTCTGTACGAAAAAAACTTGACTCGGAGAAGGGGTGGAGGAAGAACATTATTGGGGTTCAAGGGCCTTGGTTTGCTCCGGCGGCCAAGGATTACCCGATCCCGACCGCCTTCGGCGAATGCTCCGTTTCGTCTTATCAAAAATATAAAACCCATAAGAATGATTACCCCTGTGAAGTTTGCATTCCTCATTACTGCTCTTTTCTTTGCCATTCTTTGGGTATTCTTGATAATGACCTCAGTTACGGCGTTTGCAGGGACCGGATCACACACCTGGACCAATACGTTCTGAACGACGTCCTTTCTTGTGCTGACCTACTTACTTTTGAGAATCTTGAGGATATTTCACTCCTCGGCAGGACCATGAGTCAACTTATAATCCCTTCTTTTGGCAGAAGGAAAAGACCCTCCTAGGGCCATTGTGGCCCCAAGTCCAGCTCCTACTCCAGCCTTGGCATCCTCTTCTACCACCGCATCTGATACAGCTCCGAACGTTGTGATTGCCAATAGCTCTGTTGCCAACGACTTTCGCGTTAACCCAACCGTTGCCTCCCGGGCCGGCAATCCCTCGGCTATTACTACATTTGCTCAAAACAAACAGCAAGGGAAGAGGCCCCAACCTGACAGTAACCCTGACCCTGATGATGTTTCACTCTCAAGAAGGGTTCGGATCCTCAGGCCGAATGTGTCCAATTCCTCTCAAAGCAGGTCCACAACTCCTTCTTGGTCCGGCGTGGTCACAGCCCCCACTTCTTAAAACATGACCACAGCCCCTTCTGGGCCTGGCTCAGCCATCGCTTCTTCTTCTGAAGAGGCTCCTTGGACCCCTCGATTCGTCCGAGCGGATGGATCTGTTGTTAAGCCGAATGAAACCATGTTTAAAGAAGGCCAAACCGCCGCGGCATATTACAAGAACATGTGGTCCCCCAAAGACGTTGAAGTTGCCAAAGCTCTGTCCCAAAAAGAAGTTTTTAGTCGCTTCCCTCTGGCCGCTATGGAGGTAATTCTTTTCTCTTCTATCGGTTGCGGTAGGAATGTCTTCATATTACAACTTCTCTGGACACCCGTTCGGATTAATTAGTACTCATGCATTGTTTTGCAGACTTTATTTGGTATGATGGCAATGCAGAAGCAGGCCGAGGTTGCCAATGCTAAGGTACGAAAGTTCGCCAAAGACATTGAAGTTAGTCACAAAGAGAATAAGATCATCAGCACCAAAAATGCTGAACTCATGGTGCAACTCAACGACGTTGAGAAGGAGAGGGATACCTTGAAGAAAGAAGTGGACTCTCTCCAGGATGAGAAGAATGCTCTCCAGCTTGAGAGGAGTGTTTTACAAACCGAGCGGGAAGGTCTGAGAACCAAGAAGGAGGCTCTGAGAACTAAGAAGGAAAACCTCCAGCGAATGTTGGCCGATGAATAAGCCAAACAAATGGCTTTAGAAAATAGGGCTCTGGATGAACGCAACGCTCTACTCGGTGTCATTAGCCGGGTTGAAGGTGGAATGAGAGCTCTTCATACCCGTTTCTCTTGGACCGGAGCTTTTAGATACGCACAAGGGTATAGGGATGGCTATACCAATTGCTCTCCTCCTGAAGGTCATGTTAATTCTTATGCAGGTCCTGATGATTGTGATAAGGAGTTCAACATTAACCCTCCCGGGGTTTATATTGATCCGGAGTCTACTCCCGCTGAACACATCTTTGACGAGTGCCAAGCGATTGTTGCTTCCGAGGTCATTTCTACCCCTTCGGCTGTCCAGCCTCTGGATGTTCCTCCCTTGATAACTGTGACTCCTTCCGTTCCTGCTGCCGAGGATGAAGCTCAACAAAATGATACAATCATTCAGCTCGACTCTCCCCCTCGCGAGGGGGGTACAGTCAATGAAGTTGATGGTCAATCCCTCTGTGGTCAGGAGGCCAAAGGAGTAGGTAGGACCGAATAGCACCTTGCAAACATACCATTTTCTCTCTTGCATTGTACTTACTTTATTAGAGTACTCTTTGTAAATGTATTCTGATCTAGAGTTTAATGAAATGAATATTCTTAACCAATTTTTGTCTCGTAGTACTTTTACCATCTCATTGCTGCCTCCTCTTCTTTTCTTTCATTTTTATGCAAATGTTTTGGCATTCAGCTTTTTTTTTTTTGTTTTGTGTGCAAGTATTTGGCGTTCAGCTCATAGTGCCAGTTGTAAGTGTTTGGCGTTCAGCTCATAGTGCCAGCTGCCACTTACCTTGCTTAAGTGCCTGGCGCTCAGCTAGAATGCCACTTGCCACTTGGCTTTTTATTTTTTATTTTTTAGCAAGTGTTTGGCGTTCGGCTCATAGTGCCAGCTGCCACTTACTTTACTTAAGTGCCTGGCGTTCGGCTAGAATGCCACTTGCCACTTGGCTTTTATTTTTTTTAGCAAGTGTTTGACATTCGGCTCATAGTGCCAGCTGCCACTTACTTTGCTTAAGTGCCTGGCGTTCGGCTAGAATGCCACTTATCACTTGGCTTTTATTTTTTAGCAAATGTTTAGTATTCGGCTCATAATGCCAGCTGCCACTTACTTTGCTTAAGTGCCTGGCGCTCGGCTAAAATGCCACTTGCCACTTGGCTTTACTCATACTCAGTCACCTTTTTAGAAGAAGACGATACTTTTTATAAATCTTTCAAAGTTTAGCTCTCTCACAAGTATACAATTAAAGGTAAAAATTGGTTAAACTGAAACTCAATTTTTATTGATAATACCTTTTTAAAGAAGTGGCATTCTAAGGCTTGTTTACCAGCCTTCCGACCATGGTCTCTAAGACATATGCCCCCTTTCCGATAACCTCTGCAACTCTATACGGACCTTCCCATGGTGACACCATTTTCTTGATAATACTAACTTTTCTTTTCAGAACCAAATCACCAGGTGCAAAACCCCTATGCCTCACCTTTTTGTTATGACTGTTTATGAGCGTTTATTGATATGATGCAAGCCTTATTGCTGCAGCATTCCTCTTCTCTTCAAGCAAGTTAAGGTTAAATTTCAGCATATGATCATTCTGTTCCTGATTCCACGCTAAGCTCCGAATGGTAGGAACTTGGTGCTCGACCGGTATTACTGCCTCAGTACCATACGCCATGGTGAATGGGCTCTCTCCGGTCGGTCGCCTTGGAGTCATTCTATACGCCCACGAGACGTTCGGGAGTTCATCTAACCACTTCCCTTTCTCTTCTTCAAGCTTCTTCTTTATGCAAACAAAGATCGTTCTGTTTGTGATCTCAGCCTGACCATTCGCTTGTGGATGGTTGACCACTGCTAACTTTTGATTAATTCCATATTCTTCCAGCAACTCCCTCACTTGCTTGATATCAAGGTTAGTTCTATTATCCATGACGATTGACCTCGGCACCCCAAATCGACAAATGATATTATTCCAAATGAAGCGTTTCACATGAGTCTGAGTCACACTAGGATACGGTTCTGCCTCCATCCATTTGGTAAAGTAGTCTGTTACAAGCAGAACGTACTTATTTTGCGATCTGGTGGTCAGTAATGGGCCAACCATATCCATCCCCCATTGCACGAGAGGCCTTGGTTTGGCCATTACGTGCAAATTTTCTGATGG